GGCTGCCTGGCTGTGGATGGGAATGTGCCATCATCTGCTCCTCTCCTTTTCGGGGCCTTTGGCTGTAGGAGAGAGGATAAAAAAAAATGAGGCATCCACCCTGACTCACCACGGGCAACCCCTGTCCAGGTGTCTGCCAGGGTCTTGAATCCTCATCTCTGTGTCCGTGTCTTTGTAGAAGGTAGAGAATCTCTGGGTGGTTGAGTTCCTACTGGGGAGGACAGCAGGTCCTGTCCCTTTCCTGGCCTGCTCTTGTAGAAGACAGGATAAGAAACAAGAGGTCAGCCATCTTCCCTCACCAGGGACAACCCCTGCCCAGGTCTGTGCCACACTCCTGAATCCTTAACTTTTGTCTGTGTCCTTGCAGAAGGTAGAGAATCTCTGGCTGTGTGCTTGAAGATGAGGATCCGCCATGGTCTTGTCGTTGCCCTGTCTGGGCCTGCTGCCATTACAGGTAGGATAATAGCAACAAAGAAAGGCAGCAGAAACCATCTGTCCCCGTGGACAATCCCTGCCCAGGTCTCTGCCGCACTCTTCAATCCTTATCTTCGTGTCCATGTACTTTTAGAAGGTAGAGAGTGTCTGACTGTCTGGCTGCTCGCCGGTCTGCTGGGCTCCGGGCTGTGACAGGTCACTGCCCGTACCTCCCCAGCACCCTTTGTGACATGGCCACCTCCAGCATTCTACTGCTGTGTGAGGGCCACAGCGTGTCCAGGGGTGATGGAGGGCCCAGGCCTTGCCTTCCTGTGGAAAATGGCTGCCAGGCTTCAGCCTTCTTAAAGAGAGTGGGATGGACAAAGGCCATAACTGAGTCCAATGGGACAAATATTGTTGAGAACTCAGTCTGTGTTGAGAGCAGGTTGAGAGCTCCTGTCTGTGTGGGGACACCCTCTTGATCGGGGAGTGTGGTCTCCTCATGGTCCCTCTCCTTTTGGCCTCTCGCCTGTCCCCTGGGCCTCATCCTGGCTTCCAGGGCCAGGGCAGAGCCAGGTGGAGCTCAGCATGAGGGCGCAGTCACAGAAGTCACAGCATCATTGAATCATTTAGGTTGTAAAAAGCCCTTAAGATCATCGAGTCCAACCACAGACCTAACACTGCCAGCTCCGCCACTAACCCATGTCCCTCAGCACCGAGTCCAACCACAGACCTAACACTGCCAGCTCCACCACTAACCCATGTCCCTCAGCACCACGTCCACCCGTCTTTTAAATACCACCAGGGATGATGACTCCACCACCTCCCTGGGCAGCCTGTTCCAATGCTTCATAACCATTTGTGTGAAGAAATAGTTCCTAATATCCATCCTAAATCTTCCCTGGTGCAACTTGGGGCCGTTCCCTCTTGTCCCGTTGCCTGTTCCTTGGGAGAAGAGACCAACCCCCCC